AAAATACATGTTATTTACAGTAGAGAATGAAAAGAAGTAGACAATGTGAAACATACTTCCTACAAAAGGTCTACATCTCCATAATCCAACCAACAGAGGAATACTCGAATACTAGTCTGACTAGAATATATTTCTCTGTCTGTATGTGGTTCCGTTGATTCGTCACGGGCTAGTTTAGTTTAAATAGTGATAAATAAATAGTTATTGTTATTAAAATGAATTCTGCACTCTATGGCAGCTCATTTTGTAGCTCTAGATTTCCTTCAAATATCGACGGATTTATATTCAAATATCGTCGATATCGGAGTTTTTACAGGTAAAAGATTAAAAGAAAGGAAATTTGTTGGGTCGCCGCCTCACACTGGCGATCTTTGAGCGTATTTAGATCAGTTCGCGATAGATGCTCACCAGTATTTTCGTTATGAACCATGAAGCGTATGCGATCTTTCCTTCGCTTTTGGAATACAAAACGTGTGCCAGTTTGACAATTTGAAGTATTTAAATAGGATAACATTTTACTAGAGAATTGGCAACAATAGTACAACACAAAATATATTGTGTTAGGGAAGTACACTTAGATATTTTACAATTCAATTACGTTCAATTAATTATATTACAGCTATGAGCAATATTTGTGTGTCCATTAGTTGCATGAATTGTGGCATTTATTGCTGTTGTTGTTTTTTCAAAATAAAAAAGTTGATGTGGTTACTCTAATATAAATAATATTATTCCTTTGTTATTATAAAATATTAAAAATATGCTTTGAAACAAATTTGAATTTTGCCTCTGTCGCGATAACTTAGAGCAAAAGCAAGTGGAAACCCAACGGAAAATTGCTGGAAGTGTCGGAATCGAAAACCGACCGAGGGGGAGACGGCGCTCGTGAGGATTCGTATGCCGCTGCGCACGCGTGTTTATGCGTCGCGGCGCGTACGCACGCGTGCGTCGTCGGCCGCCGGGTTTTTTACGACCTGTGGTCCTTTGTATGGTTCAGCTCACCGCTGGGCGGCGCGCGCCCCCTCGCGCCCTTTCCCCCCCCCGCCCACCCTCGCCCCCGCGCCGCCCCCGCCGCCCCCGCCGCCGTCGCCGGCACTTGCGAGCGCGGAGCGTCTGCCATACTCAAGTGTGCTTCTTAGAATGACTCTCACACGGGCAGACTCCGCGTCTGTGACTCGCGTTTTGCGTAGCCGCAGCTCCTTTGCCGTCGTTGTCGCTGTTGCTCATGCGCTGCCGCCTACACACCGCTTGCCGTATGCAGAATACTTTACTAGCTAGATGATGTTACGTGAGGACATGACGCCGTCAAATTCTGCTAAACTGCGTTTGCTGCCCTGATTTTCTTGTCATGTATAGAACCATTTCCTGTTTTCATTTCTCCCTCGCGTCCATTGCACTCATCACAAGATTCTGAAACACTTAACTAATAAATATTTCTGTACTTTTTGCTACTTTAGAACTGACTCTGTGTCTACTCCCATTCCTTATTAAATTCCACTTCTAAATACATTACCGAGCTTACGCCATGACTCGATGACCGGCGTGACTCGAGAAAAGAGCCGAAAGCAACTCAAAAGCAAGAATTTGTGAGTTCATTGTAATTTCCACCGAAATGAGTTTTTGATGCGATGTATTCCATGGGACCACCGACCGCCCTTAACAGACCCTCATGGTCATGAAAAATCGCTACTCTTCTCCGGAACTAGTATAATGCAAACACATTACATACTTTCGCCTCTGAAGCTCCCGACGACTAAGTTCGAATGCTACTCCCTTTGCTGTGACCTTCGAAAAACGAAAATAAACGTCAATAGTTCATAGGAGAGAGTCGATGTAGAGAGGCTCAGAATGTACCTCAGAATTTATGTACTCGTTTTCGAAGTCACGGCCCGCGACCGTTTCTTTTTCGCGCTATCTTTCGATCTTTCGCATGAGATTCTGTACAGGCAGGCGGGAATTTCAGTTCTGTGAATGATTTGTTAGGTTTACATATTTAAATTGTTTTATTATTATAATTTAATTTTAGAAATGTGAACATATATTTACATATTTTTTGTAAAATAAAATTAAAAACATTTATTTATATTGTCTTGTAATCAACAGGATGTTACCTATCTGTGCCAAATGATGTATTGGTAATCGACCGCCAATCGATCCGTTGATCATTATTGAAATTTTCAATCGACTCTAGGAGGTCCATACCGCTCTCATTAGGCCAGCAGGAGAATGTCAGAGGCAGTACCCTAAGAAAGGCGCCACGGACTGCGCGCGACTTTTCCTCCCTAACCCTACTTACCGTCACATTTGTCGGGACACCAGTCGGGATCTTAGAGCTTGTCCGACTGGACTGGGCGGTTCCACACTGGTGGGAGATAGTCGGCCCCGGATCTCGCCATCTAGCGGGAGATCACCACTACCTCTCGAGGAAAACGCGTGCACTACGCTTTCGGGACTAATGACCATAGCCGTCGACCGCGCCCGGCATCACGAACCAATCGACCCTGCTGAGAAGCCCTGCTCTAGCGAAAGCAGCGCGCACGGGGACGAAGCGGAAGCGGCAGCGGGAGCGCACGGGTCTCGCAGCGCGTCCCCAGCCGCCCGCGCAGCCCGCGCCGCCACCGACACGTTATCGTGCGCGTGTCGCCGCAATAAGTCAGGTGCCGGCGGCGGCGCGGCGTCGCCCGCATTGTTGTGTCGCCAGGCACGCTCCGCGCTGTAAATCGTACGCCGCCGCGCCGCAGCGAACCCGGCTGCCCGCGCGCCCGCCCGGCCCGCCCGCCCGCCTGGAAATTAAGATTTTTCGAGGATATCGCTCGCCCGTTGCCGGCCGCCGCCTCCGCAGCCCTGTCGCCCCGTCAGCGCCCTGCGCCGCCGCCGCCGCCGGCTTATTGCTATGCGCATACGGACCATGCAAATGATACGGTTCGCGCAGTGCGTAGTGCGTGGTCCCGCTGGGGCTCGAAGCCCGTTCCCGTTCCGCCCGTTGCCCCTGGGCGCGGCGTTCGGGTCATTGCTTCCGCACCGGCAGCCCCCGTTGTCTCGTTGCGCCTATCTGCGTCGTCTCCAAACAGCCTCGTGGTTTTATAAGCGTGTGGTCCGAAAAGGTATTAACGGAAGATCTCAGAGCTAATGTTACATACTCTGTGGCAAGTAGAGGGATCGAAATGGTCAATATTTGCGAATGAATAGGAAGTGGTAAATTTCATGTAAATATGTTACACGTGTGATATTTTTCCTGACTTTTTGGCAACTTCTCTAACCTGTGTATTCGCCAGATCACGTTCTGTCACAGACAAGGATATTTCACGTACTCCCGAACATCTTTGTATACGGGGTTGCCTAACAATGAGCAATTGTCACGTGTAAAAATGCATATAACTTCACATGCAATTTTCTATTGCATGATGATTGGCAAAATTTGATTACGTATTCGATCCCTCTATTGTACAAGTACATTAATATATGACAGAAACGAGTGTTATCCTCTTTAAAGAAATCGTTGGAGTCATTTCTCGTCACTCACTCAATGGTTCCACTTTTTCTGCGAAAATTAAATGAAGCGAGAAAAGTAACAAGCTGCCTACTTTTAAACTTGTATTCGTGTTTAGCCATTATACGTCCCGTAAAGGGAAAATGGCTTCGGCGCCCTTAGATCCCGGGGTTCCTAGTGGGACACCCAACTAGGAACCCGCGATACCCCGAATTCGCTTCACCTTCATGGCTTCTCATAGTTAACAAATTCAGCTAGCGACGCTGGTTTTGCGGGTGGTGCCCTTTCAGTAGAAACATTCCAGTATTCACCTGGATGACCGAGGGAAATCACAAAAATCCCGGACAGGATGGCACGCACGGGAATTGAATTCGGGCCTCCCGAATACAAAGACAGCGCGCTAAACCCTGAGACACTTCGCTCGGTCAGCTTTTGAATAGATGATCTCATAATTTTCTTTGTAAACGTTGGGTAAAAGTATTGAAATCCACCCATTTGTAAGAATGGTAGCCTCTTGCCGGCATTTTTAGGAGACTTCAATGCATGTGTAGAACAGAAACCATCATGAATTACATGATCAAATGTGAAGTAAGAATGTTACCTTCAATATTTTCACCGTGAATGAAGCTTCGTCACTATCTATTGCATTGTTATTGCCCTGCATGAAGTTTGTTTTCCAGCCTGTCGAAATGATCCCTTCTTAGTGTTAGAGTGACTTCCCAATAGCGCCAGTGTGGAATGAAGCGACTGCAACGCCCTGATGCGCGTGGGCGGGCAGGCCGGCGTTGAGCATCGGCTGGAGCACTGGCTCTTCCTAGAAGGCGCAGGCGCTGTGAGGGAAATCGAACACTTGACTCAGAGACCTGAGTTGTGGAAGAAGGCTTTCATTTAGAAGGTCCGACGTCTCTTTAATTCACATGTAATTTTCCACGTGTGGGGAGACGAAGTACGAATCAAGATTTACGGGTGAACAAAACTACTGAGACAGGAGGCAGAAGAATCTCAATAAATTGAAGATAAAACGATACGAAGAGAGGAATATGTTTAAGTAAATATGCGACAATTTAAATATATAGATAAATACACGCAGTGATGTGTTGACCACCGTTATTACGAACTTTTGTTAAGACATTGTTATTGTACTCTCATTATCATTTCAACATTTTACGTAGATATGCATGTTTTGTGTTGATGAACTGATGTGTGAATGAACTCGAAAATACTGATTCATCGACATTGACATCGAAATGTTTCTATTATGTTATCTTACATACCGTTAAATTTGAAATTGTAATTTTGGTGTTTGTAACATAAAATAAAATGAATCATTTGCTAGGGGTGAAAATTGTTTTGGTTCTCTTGTTTGTTCATAGTCATTGTTTCATTCATTTAATTTCATACAATATTTATCCTCAAAAGAAATTAGATTTTAAGACATCAATATTTTCGAATTTTGGTCTCCACATGGATGATGGCCTTTACACTGAACTCCGCCTGTCATTTGTTCCAGCGGCGAATTCCACCTGGGATTCCCGCGCGCCGAGCTGCAGGGCGTGTCGTGGTACCAACTGCTGCACTGGGACTGCATGCGGGAGGCACAGAGCAAACACCGACTCAGTAAGTAATGCACTGCCTCCTCAGAGGTCACCTCGGCCCCTCGCCCACCGCTCTCCCGAGAGCCCCCAGCGCCCGGGCGCGAGATCTCCATCTGCCACGCGTGGACTCCCCGACGCCCGACGCGCGTCATTTAACACTGCCAAACTCCGCCGGCCGCAGCCCGCCCGGCGTAAACATCGTAACTCAAATTGAAAATCAACAAATGCGATCTGTATCGGTTTGTCAGATTCGTGGTGTTCGGGGCACATTTTGCTAGGAGATAACCAACAGAAAACGATCGAAGCGCGAGTCGTATTTTCTTCTATTTTTCGCGATCTTCACTTTTCCGCTGTAATAAGGCGGACGCTGTAAGTACCGATGAGAAGCGACGATAGCAGGGTAATCTGTTGAGAGGAATATGTAGGGTCGTTCTATTCGGAAACATTGTGCAAGGAGCTCTATTGTACGCGCGGCGCGTGCGTGCGAAGGGGGCAGAGAGATCGCGCTTCCAGTCACGACTCGCGCCGAGGCGCCGGCTGCGCGCTGCGCACTGCGCGCCTCGCTCCTTTGAGAGGGCGCTAGCCATGGCAAATTTTACGAAAACATCGATATTTCAATACGTCACCAAAGGGTTTTCCATGTTGATGAAAACATCAACAAAAACATCAATGATTTAAGGATGATGAAACGTATGTTATTTCCTCATCCTGTTTCCACTTTCAATTAGAGTACTAAATGAAATAGGGTATATTTTTTGTTTGGAGACGTACAAGTAATACGTTAATATGTATCAAATCTATAGAAGAAAATAAAAATAAAGGACATTATGTTTTGCTATTATTCCATTTTTTCACTTTCATGCATAAAAATCGAAGTAAAACGTCCAATATCTAATATACATACTAACACGTAAATATTAGTAAATGTAATATGTAAGTATAGCAAAGTACAGCCCTTTATGCCTTTATTTTCTAATTAATATTCCATGCAATGTTCAAAATGAAGTTTAACGATATTACTGCGTACAAAATTATCGAAAAAGAAAACATAAACTATTTTTACAATATTGATGTGTCTGGAAAAATAAATCGATCTGAAAAAAGCATCATCAAAAACAAAACATCGATGTTAATATATCCATGATTCTGGTGGAAAATATCGATGTTTTAATGCATTGATTTTTTTGCCATTCCTAGTGGCGGCACGCCTGAAATCTGTTTTACACGGTCATGTTTTCACCAATTTTCGTCGGTTCAGAAAAGATGTAATTTGGATCAAACTGGATGTAATTTGTATGAAAAAATTATTCATGCTTCATTTTTTGGGACACATTTCATCGAGTTTGACTACCGCACTTCTGGCGTCACGTTTTTGGACTGTCTGTTTTGCTACGCGTGAGGTGCGATTTTTTCTTCCTTTTCATAGCTACCAGAACGTTTTGATGTGTTGTATTGTAATGTGAAGTGATTACGTAGTAATAAATAAAACATATAGTGTGTTCCAATGTCGTCTCTTTCCGTGCTCAAACGCAATGTAACCTAACTTCATTTGTGACAATAGATGCTATGCTTATCTGGTTTGTACTGCAGCGCTTATTGTGGTGTTCAGCAGAATTGTTTGCATTACGCTTCTGTGAGAAAAAGAAATAACGGTGTAAAACGCATCAATTCCTTCATCCACTTTTGATACCGACACTCTAGCGGTAGAAACGAACGTCTCCTTTCCATCCATCTTCTGTTTAGAAAAATGATGAAAAACATGTAAAAAATGTAAAACGTGCTTGACTCTCCTACCCCTTAGAATATAAATATTACACTAGACTCTCGCTAATCCAACCGTTCCTTGCGCATATGGTGCCGGATTAGCGGAAGTGCCGGATTGTTGAGATGGTTTGAAATTAGTTTAAACACAAAGAGACGATTCAGAACTTTATTAAATCTAAAGATGTTGTACATTCGTTTACATATAAAATGTGTTGCTCGTCCAGTATTCTCCAGCAATGGTTTTCGGTGAACAACCTCCGTTCAGCTATCTAATGTTTCGCGTTTTGAGGATTAGCATAATGTGTTTCCTTTTAGAGGCAATAGTAATCAACTATACTATAAGAAAGTCAGAAATTCAAATATGTATAGCATTTTTTAACAATTTTAACTTACAACACATTCTCACAAAAAAAAATTTATTGCATTACGTGTCATTTCTGCTAGAGCTACTAGAGTCTGAACTACTGAGAACCAGATTATTGAGTGTTACGTGTTTTTCGGAAAGAAGGGAAAAGATTGAGCAAGCCTGATTGAGGGTAGTAAGAATCATTTGAAGGTTTTGAATCACAAGAAACGACCTTTTGCTCTCATCATTTCTGTAATTCATAAACAAGTCAGTTGTTTTGTTGAGGTAGAGTTATGTTTCTGGTTTCAATATATTAATTTACTATTTGCTTTGTACATATTTTTGGAATTTGCACGATCGCGAAGGAACTATATTTTAGTTAATATTTAAATATATATTTATATCCAATACTTTATTTTAAAAACATATTTTCCATTACCAAAACCGTTAAAGCTTTTTTCAATGGAACTGTATAAAAGAAATGGATGCTTTTGTGAAGTTAATTTAATAGATACTACTTTATTTTGTATTAAATGCAAAAATTATTTTAGAATTCAATACTAATGTGCGCCAATTGCAAATTTTCCTTTATAAAAAAATTATCAAAGTTTGACTTCAAAATTAAAACAAATAATTAATATTTCCATTTAGTATAAGCACCAAATAATGTTATGTAATTTATTTTTAAATTATCTCTATTTTAACGGATTTCAAGTTGGAGTTTGGCGTAAAATAATTGCATACATTTTTATCAGCATTTTTTCTCGTATTTAGCGTACAAGCTTTTCATACAGGAAAGACAGTTTCACGGGTTGGGGCAATTGAAATGCAATTTGCTGTACCATAAAATGATGAGCACGCGAGATTTGTAAACAATCATCCGCAGATGTAGAATGTAGGAAACTTGGTACTTTTTTAAAACACCTGTATATCGTCAATATGCTTATACTATCACCGTTCCTCGGTGCGTTTGACGCAAGAGACGCGTTCACGTGAAGTGAGATGCGCGGCGTTCGCCTGTTGCAGTCACGCAGTCGGAGCAGGACCGCTCGTGCATCCTGCTGCTGCGGCTGCAGCGCCGCACGGGCGACTGGCTGTGGGTGCACTGCGTCCTGCAAGTGAAGGACAACATGGAGAATAGTCAGCAGCCGGTCATCGTCTGCACCAACCAAGTCCTCAGGTGAGACGAAAGCTGTATCTGCAGGCAAACGACACGTCTAGTGCGCGGCTCTACGCAGTCTAGCTGCGGGCACTTTAACTTTCCAAGCAATGAGTAACTGACCTGTTTGGTGTTAATGAAAGCAAGTTATACAATATTTTTAATATATTTACTTTACCTGCAATTTCTTTCGTGGTCAGTTATACATTGCTGGTGGTAATATATTGGTATAAAATGCACTAAATAACCAAATCACTACAATGCAATGTAACTTATAAGTAGTTACTTTCAAGAATACCAAAAAATAAACGTATTCCCCGGTTCAGATGGTAAACGTTATCCCCCTTTCCATGTCAACCATATGTTGAGTTTTAGAGCGGTCACACACGAACACATTTTTATTATTATTATTATTATTAGAGTTCTCATACAGCGAAGTAACGCTTTAATAGATTGAATAGGGAAATAACTAGCAAGCATACCACTAGCGTTTCAAATTGCGAAGACATTCCCACTGGAGACCTTCAATTTCTAAGAAATGAAAATAAGGGAACAAATTGTCTTCAGATAATAAATATTACAAAAGTACGTACACTAAATTATGGGTGTTTGTTTTCTGGACGTTTAAACTTTTCTTTGAGGATTCTATGTAGATTTGATTCTTCTCTGCTACTTATTAGTTTTACCTCATTTAAAAATGCTAGTTGCTGGGGAGGATGTTAGGGAATTACAAATTTATTTGGCAGACAATGTTAAATTAGGGGAATATCTAGCTCTCTGTGCTACTTGCCTTTTTTATCGTAGTACAATGCTCTTACGGCATTGCTAAGGATTTTATTTTGAAAGATTTGCAGAGTTTTTCGTACCGAAGTAGCAGCTCCTCTCCAAACAGGACGCGCGTAAGTAGAGAGCGAAAACACCATTTTTCATGCTCGACGGATCAAGTTACAAACAACTATTTTAAGGCTCTCCTCCGTGTAACGGCGTATACCACACAGCGCTCCATACCCTCCGCGAACGAACGAACATACGCGGAAGTTTCTGAAAGACGTAACCGCAAATTGTAACGTCATGAAAATTTGCGACGCTTGTAGCAGAGGCATCGCGATAACGGGATTCCAACATGCGAGAATTCTCAAGGCCAGGGATAAGCGAGAGAGATAGGGGGCGTGTGCGTTTCGGTCCAGCGGCCAGCGGCGCGGGGGCGGCCTCTGCCTCCGCATCGACGTCGCGCCCTGCCGCGCCGCGCCGCGCTGGTTTTTTCGATTTTCATTTTACATTTCAATTGTTTCGATTGTTTTATTCTGCGGACTGTTAAAATCTGTAAGAAATTCCGGCCATTAAAGAGTGGATTTTCGTTTTTCTGTTTGCGTTAAGTTGATATAATAGTAAAGTATTACGAAAAATTAGAGTAAATCTTTATTCATTTTGATTAAGAATTCGTAGATTAATATTTCGTTGTCATGTTACTTCAGGGTGACTATGAACTTCCTTGCCTTCAACTTCCACCAATTATTGTAAACCTAGAAAGAGTTGAATCCGTTCCAACATTATTTTGTTTCCCTCGACGTTTTCTTTTTGGTGAGAATAACATTCGTTTCCTTTATTTTGCTTCCGTTGCCATCTTCGTGGCTGACTGAAACGGCGTCGTCATCACCTTCACTTTCTTCGAGTCGGCGCCTCGAAATACCCACATAAAACGCAGTGAAAGGCGCCGGCGGCAAAAGGCGATCCGGTGGGCGCAAAAAGCGCGATCGCGTGTGACGTGGACGTCTTCTTCAACTCGCTCGTCCCCCGTGATGAAGCTGTCAGAAGCGCCGGTCGCTGGTCGCGTTCCCCAGCCCAAACACTAACCTTTCGAAGGGAAGCTGATGGGTAAAGAACATATTTGTACGTGGTAGTTCCATACGTTTCTGCCTCACTAACGTCTAATTTTGATAGAAAGAAAAAATTGCGTCTATAGAGATGCAAATAGCAAATAGACAAGTATGTAGCTTGTGTGCATATAGCTGCTCTAGCAGAGCTCACACAACCACTTAAAACTAATAATTTCGGACTAATAATTTAGCTTATGAGTGTTTATTGAACTATTCTGTTTGACAATGCCTACTTGAGAATCCTTACATACTCCGGAATTTTAAGTCTTAACTGTACTGAGAGATCTCATGGGCATGTAAAATTCCGAAACTTCATTGGAGACGACGTATCCGTTCAAATATTTATTTGCCTGCTAGGCTGCAAATTTTTCAAGTTTGATATCTGTATAAAACACATACTTTCAAAGCATTTCCTTGCGCCAAGCCATAAAATCGAAGCATGTCCGCGAGTCCGTATTTTCCTTAATACTTTTCCGTAATACTTTGTTCAATTAAAAGTTGTCTTTAAATCAATGTACAATAAATCTTTTGACATGAGTCATAACATGAGTTATTGCTTCTTTAAGTGATACCTAATAGCAAATAGTAAAATAGTAATAACTAGTTACATTATTATTCCCAAATAAACAAAGCTAGCTAGTGTTTTACAATTAATTTTGCCTAACAAAATGAGCATCGACGAAAACATTCTGATAAACCTCAGTAAATATTCACTTACGGGGCCATTTCTCCTGATATTTTCAGTCTCTCTATGTCCCTGAAACTTTGGCCAACTATTTCGTTACACACATTTTGAATTAAACAGTTGTTTAAATGCACGAAAATGTGAAAACATTTAACCATCAAAAGAATACCTATAAACGCTATAAGATTCAGATGTGTCGCTGTTTTAACGCGGTCTCTTTACCAATCGTGAATAAAATAACTGTCGGATTAATTCATTTTGTCTGAATGAAATCAAATTCTAAACTTGAACATCAACCGTCCTCTCATCTCGCGAGCTCTGGTTGAAGGGCTGGTTTGTGGTTGTCCGGGAAGGTGCAGACGCGCCGTCGCGGAGCAGCACGGTAAGCCCCGCCTCGCCCCTCCCCCATGCCCCGACGGAAAAACTAGGGCGCCGGTAGGATCGTGACACGCGACGTCTTATGTGGGTTCTTGCGAGGCACCTACCTACGAGTACTAGCACATGACGGACGCCCGTCCAGGCGCCCAGTCTCGGATTGACATTCCCTTCGTTGCGCGCACGCGCGCTTAGGCATAGACCGGTTACATGCCAGGAAGGGCGATACTACATTTACTCGTACACCCCCATATGTCAAATGTAAATAACAAATGTTTTAAAGGAAAGATGGTCCAAAAGGACCCATAAATGTACTTGGTCCCTCCTCTTGTTTTAGTTTTTTCCTATTCCATTGTTACTTACTTACACTTAATTTTCTGCACTCTGATAACTATTAAATGATGTTTGATCATTAAAATAGTATTGGCAGGCCACATCCGTATGAGTCCAGAAATCTGTTGAGTCCAGTAATATGATGTGTCATGCTATAACACCTTTGTAAAACTGCACTCAGACTTCCTTGAAATTTGAATGTAATTTAGTCGAATCATCTTCCATTCGTTCAAGGTAATTACCTTTTAAAAATAGTTCTTTTTATTTTTCTTTCATTATTATTAATGTACTTTAAACTGTGAAAATGTGATATCGGAATACTTTTTTTCCTCATCCTTTTCTTCCTTTCGTTCTTACAGTTCATTTTTCTTACGGCAGGTTGGTATACAGACACAGAAAAAATATAAACTTTTTTTTCAGTTTTTGCAATATTTATCTACAGATTTAAATACTTAGCTTTTTTAACACATTCATTCGAGGTTTTAATGAACCTAATATTCTGAATCTTGCTTTGAATGAAAGAAGCGTGTGAGCGCGTATTATTTCGACTCATCAGTATTTACATTTAATATTGATTAAATGTAAAAGTTATAAAATGTTGAAGTATTTTCTGCAATTCGAACGCAATTATCCACCGGTGTCAATCAATATATCGATAGTTTATGTTTCGTTTGTCGGTTGTTGAATCTAATCTCTGTTATAGTACTGTGAATATTGTGTTCCTTTGAGTTACTCGATCATGTTCGAGAATTATTATGTCTGAATGCACATTCTAGATATTATGTCTGTTGTGTTTCGTTTGGCTCGTTTCGAGTTTTCGTCAATAAAGAAGCTGATATTATTTCTGAATTATCGAATCAAATAATCCAAGTTTTGTTATTTGTCCTAACGATTGTTTGACTTTGTTTCCAGTTAAATCTCAATTAAGATTAATAAACGATATAAGTTTCAAATTAAATCCTCCCGCGTGAACTTCAGTGGTTACTAATCCAGCAATAATAACATAGATGGTGGTGGGTCTATGTTTTATAACATTGCGGAGCGGTGCGGAGCCTGGGACCCGAGACCGCACGGCGATCACTCTCCTAGTAGTGATGCGACATCGATGACAAAACATCGATGATGCCAAATGTCGATGTCAATTATGCATCGACCAAAAACCATCGGTGTTCATAATATTGATATTTTAAAGCTCACTTAGTAACTCCTAACATTAAATTTATGTGCAACAAAATGTGACTGTGGCCGTGTATATTAATTTATAATTAAAATGTATTTGAAAGCAGTTGAAAACGCTTCTCTATGTGCGCAATACGAAGGAAAAATCATGGCGTCAGGACCATCTCGGGCGAAGGATCGTCTGCTCGTTGAAGGCCGCGTTCATTTGGTTCGAACACATAAGCGGTAATACCAGCAGTTATTTCATAGTTTAACTTTTATAAAATTGTGATTATGGGATTTTTTCATCTACGAACAAAATACGAAATACGTAAAAACATCGATGTTTTTATAGAAACATCGATGTTTTGAAAACATCGAGATCGATGTCGCATCAGTGCCTCCTAACCAGCATTCTCAGCAACGGCGCGTCTTTGGAATGCCTCTTTGACCCACGTCAGTGGGAAAAGTGTGATGCACTCCGTAACTGATGCATCCTGCCACCAAGTTCAAGTTTATTTTCAACATTCTCCTCACCGGAGATACACTTGAGATTAGCGCTTCAACGTCTCAACATACTTCTACTTTACCACTTACATACCTATTATTTTACAATTAATATACGGTACCTACTAATTTACAACTAACATATTACTTTGCTACTAACATACCTATTGTTTTAGCCACTCCCTACTCCACATGCTTTATTTACATATTTTATCTATTTTACTTTCAACATCCTTGATTTTTACGCCTTCTATAGAATATTTTCATTGCCGTTTTCCCCCTCAGATATTTTTCCCTATCTCTTCCTTCTATCCTCAATTTCTTTCATCTCTTTACTCTCTCGTCCTCCATCATCCTGTCGTTCGGCATTACTGGCTCTACAATACACTTCTCATCTACTCTGAACTCCTACTTCCAATTACAGCCTTCCATTACAAGCTCTTCCCCCCTCACATATCGAACAGTCTGCCTCCAAACCATCCATTTCATTTCCACAACCAATGCCTTACTGCTTCTACAAAGAGCGTCTGTAACCAGCGACTACCCTTGCGACAATGGCTTCCTCCCCCCCCCCTCCGCCGGCCTCCTTAGCCTAGCGGCGGCTCCCTCGCGCGCGCCATTACACGAGGCGTGTCCGTGGAATTTTAAACGACAAATATTTGATTTCATTCCGCTATCACCGCCCCGGTTGCGTCTAATTGTCGTCGTTGCTTAAGAATGCGCATACGGCGCGGCGCGACAAGGGTGGGCGCCCATTGTTGTGGAAATGCGCAGGCGGCCCCCACGCGAGCGCCCGGGGCGCGCGGCGGCGGCAATCGCCCTAGCTCCGGCTTCACCTCGTACGCTCCGTTTCTCGCTCGCTTCGCTTCAATGTG